GTGAGTACAGTGTTCAGTGAATCTAAAATACACCAAGAAACTTAAGTAGTTCAGGGATTTCTGAATTAACTAATTAAACTAACCAACTTTTGCACTAATAAATGGATAAAGGTTTATGTTTTATAAGTATATCTAGCTGTTCCCCATCTAAGGCTTTCCTATGCTCAATTTCTTGTGACCGTTAAATAAGGTGACCAGACGTCCCTTATTTACCCGGGACAGTCCCAGTTTTGAGCCCTGTGTCCCCTGTCCCATCAGATTTATCCAAAACCACTGATTTGTCCCAGTTTTATACAAGAAATGTCCCAAGTGTTCTTATTTTTGACCAATTTGATCTCAACCAGGACTAAACTAAGATTAAATCAGGACTACACCAGGTCTAAACCAGGTCTAAAACAGGACTATCACAATTTTTGACTAATCAGATTCTCGCCAGCAGTAAAGAGGAACATAAATTAATCATTTGTTTAGACAAAATACAGAAAAATGCAGTGTCAGAAGTCCCTCAGATTATGTTGCACAGTCTTGACAATTTTATTTATACTAACCATCCCAACCCGGGTGTGTCCCAGTTTTGAATTTTGAAAAATCTGCAAAAATGAGTAGCTCTTTGGCATTTTCTTTTTGTAAAGGTAGCTCACTGGAGGAAAAAGGTTGGAGATCCCTGGTGTAACTTTTCTGGTGGAGGGTCTGTCAAATGCTTTTCTCCATGGAGATGTTATTACCAGGGGTGGACTGGGACCAAAAAACAGCCCTGAACATTTTCCCCATAAAGGAAGGATAGGCCTACCATGTTTTATTTTTTTTGTCTTTAAATTTTTCCATCCACCTTTCTCCTTATGTTTTCTGTTCGACACCTTTGACATGAGTTGAAACCAACGAATAACCAACCCACTCTTCTTCTCCTGCTTATTAGTGCCTGAAATGCTCCATGATATGACATTTAACACGTCTATTTGGCATTTATTCAGTACGAGTGTTTCTAAGGCTCAAAAATACAATAATTCCCTCTGTGAACAGGGTTGCCTCTCCATAAATCTGACCTGTAATGTGGTCTTTAGTTGTTCCCCATGAGATCGAAAGGTTTAATCTGTACCGTTGAACATTCAAGACAAGCAGGTGACAAACCCTCCACTATAATAATAATAAAAAAATACTAATACTAATAAATCTTTATGTATAAAGCACTTTTAACCCTCTCCAGGCAGGCGTTGCAGATTTGCAACAGCTAAATGCCAATTACCTACTTACTCCACATCCATATTTTATGAGCTTTTTTAACTCAGGAGCCTTTTCTCCCATCCGTGCTGATAAACGTGGACGATGCAGACTGTGCAAGAATGACTACACGCAAACAACCTGCCAGAAGTGCAAAATACTTTTTTTTTTTTTTTTTTTACAAAGGATAAAAAAGTCAGGATTGTATATTACTACCCAATATTATAATTTTCCCCAAATATCAGATTTTTCCTGATACTAAAAATTAATTTGAGCCTGAAAGGGTTAAAAACAAGGTTCACAAAGTGCTGTACAAGCCACAAAGAACAATAAAAATAGCATACAGAAAGCACACAAAAACACACAATGATGCAAACAATGGAATAAAATAAATAAGGAATAAAATCAAACTAAAACCTCTTAAAGGAAGGCTAACTGATAAAAATTTGTTTTAAGAAGTAATTTAAAAGTTGACACTGATGGATTCTCCTCAGGCCTCAGGTTGTTCCAAAGCCGAGGCACCTGGACTGAAAAGGCTCCATCACCTTCGTCCGAAGCCTGGACTTTGGAACAGCCACAGGGAGCTGCCTGAGGATTTGAGGCTGCAGGAGAAGGAGGCTAAAAGTTCTGAAATGTAACTTAGTTCAAGACCTAAACGACTTCCAGTAGAAAAGTTACATACAGTAGTGCATCTTTAAAAACATTACATTTTTAAACATTTTTTTACCTCAGATATACAAGGCAAGACAAATTTTGCTCAAAAACATGGGAAATAACCAGGTACATGCTTTTTAATGACCCGCTTGTCTCCATTTTTATTTCTATATTAAAAGTGCACTATAAGTGTCCGGTAGCAGCTAATCTCCATAGAAATGTTATTGCGTTGCCTGGAATATCTCACAGTTTGACATTAAACTTACCTATTTCGATGGAGACAAGCAGGCAAAAAGGCACCAGGTCAAGTTACAGGTCAAATCTGTGGAGAGGTGACCCTGTTCCCAGTGAGAATGCACGATTTTCAAGGCAGAAAAACAAAAAACTAATCTGTAGTTGAATAAATGCAAGGCAGATATGTTTAATGACATACTGTGGAATATTTCAAGCAAACCTATAACATCTACAATGAGACAAGCAGGTGGGCGACCCTTCTTGTGAAAAGTTACATAGTGTAGCTTTAAATTAATGACTAAGAAATCATTTTTAATTAAAACTAGGCAAGGCAAGTTTATTTCTATAGCACAATTTGTACCCAAAGTAATTCAAAATGCTTTACAGAATAAGAAATACATTAAAATCACAATACAAACAAATCAAAACATAAATAATCACCATAAAATTAAAAACAGAGAGAGAAATGAACAAAATAACAAATCAAAGGAAGAAAAATCAAGAGAAAAATGATATATAAGCCTATAATATCTGTCCCTTATGATATAATATAATTTTAGAAATCTTAAGTTAAGGCAGTTGAATCAAATAAATAAAAATAAATACATACAAAAAGAATTCACAAGTCTCTAGCCCCCTCTAGTGGCTGTCCAGTTACACTCACGCATTGTACACATTGTGGTAATATTATATCCTCTTGATCTCCCCATCTGCCCCCTGCAACCCTCGCTCTCTTTTTGTCAGTATTTAAATCATTTCCCCCTCTCATCGGCCCCCTCTGCTGTTGGTTTTTATATTTATAGCTGTGGACAGTGTGGAGTGGACCGCACAGCTGATTATGTGGACTGTCCATTTGTGTTGGCGCTTCCAGATACGTTTACGCAGGAGACTGGCTTCTTTAAAGGAGATGTATTGCGCAAATTTGACTTTTTAGAGCTATTTTAAAAGAGATTTAAAGAGTAATTTATTTAGTAGTAGTGATTAATGTATGTTGGAGTAATCTTTATTCTCCTTTATTCACGACATAGCTGCTCTTTATGCATTATGAGCGCTACATTTTTTCACCATGATGCATTTATAAGCGTGTTTCACAACTTTCAGAGGCCAAATCTTACAACAACTAGCATGCTAATCTCTCACTTCCTGATTATCGTACAATAAAATGTTTTATAATAACATTTTATAGTCTCATTTTGACCTCAAGAGCTGCTTATACAAAATATCTGAAGTAAATATTGCTCAAATACATGGAAATAAATCAGGTACAGCCCCTTTAACCTTGTAAGTGGACCAGAGTTAGTCCTGTACCTCCCCTTTAACCTTGTAAGTGGACCAGAGTTAGTCCTGTACCTCCCCTTTAACCTTGTAAGTGGACCAGAGTTAGTCCTGTACCTCCCCTTTAACCTTGTAAGTGGACCAGAGTTAGTCCTGTACCTCCCTTTAACCTTGTAAGTGGACCAGAGTTAGTCCTGTACCTCCCCTTTAACCTTGTAAGTGGACCAGAGTTAGTCCTGTAGAGCCCCTTTAGCCTTGTAAGTGGACCAGAGTTAGTCCTGTTGGGGGCCTTTAACCTTGTAAGTGGACCAGAGTTAGTCCTGTACAGCCCTTTAACCTTGTAAGTGGACCAGAGTTAGTCCTGTACCTCCCTTTAACCTTGTAAGTGGACCAGAGTTAGTCCTGTACAGCCCCTTTAACCTTGTAAGTGGACCAGAGTTAGTCCTGTACAGCCCTTTAACCTTGTAAGTGGACCAGAGTTAGTCCTGGACTTAAACTTAAGTCTGGAGAATGCAGTTGGTGAAATGTATCCAGTGATGCTATTGTTGTTTGTTTGTTCTGCCTGGAAATATCTGTCAGTCCTGGAGGGATGAGAGAGAGACACAGAGAGAGAGATAAAGAATGAGAGAGAGAGAGACAGAGGGATAGAGACTGATAGATAAAGACTGAGAGAGACACAGACGAGAGAGGGTTAGGGTTAGGTTAGGGCTGAGAGAGAGAGACCATGTCGGGTGAGCTTCCCCACACGTAGGAAGAAGGACAATAACGTCTTTCACCTTGATAAAATTCACCAAATATTCTCTTTGTTCCGGCTTTAAATCCTTGATCTCGGGAATCGTTGACAACACTGAATGTCTGACTCTTCACTGATTGGCTGGTGCCCAGACTTGCACTTCCGGGGTTCTTGCAAACCGTCTAGTGTATTCTGATTCCTGACCTTGTCACTGGAGAGAAATGGAATAGTGGAGGCAGTAGTCTGTAACGGCCTCTACATTTGAATTTTCGGGTTGGACTTCTTACATGACGAGCAGAGCCGCTGGCATCTACAGGCGGTACGTGAGGAGCTCCTCTCAGCCCCGCCCCACCCTGGCACCGCTGGGCACCGCGATGTCCCACCGTGTCTGGAGAAAAAGCAAACAGCGTGATTCGAGCACAAATGTCCGCTCTGTTTTCCAAGTCTGGAGCGTACCAATCCGTGTATCATTCGTTCATTCGTTTTTCAATATAAAACCAAAAATAAGAAAATGAAAAAACAACGGTTTTCTTCATTATTTGTCTCCAAAACCAAAATGAAAAAACAGATAATGATTCGTTTTTTCAGTTTTTGATTTTGTGTTTAAATGAAAAATGGAAAAAACGGATAACGGCCGTTTCCTATTTACGTGACTTCCGTGACTGCGATGCCGGACTGTTGCACCGCGTACGGACTGAACCAGGACTGATCCAGGTCCGAGACCAGACTGGGACCAGACCAGGACCAGGGCGGACTCCGAGCTTCGACTCTGAGCCTCCGCGGGGTCAGAGCCTCAGCTTCGAGCTCCGGCCCTGCCGTGGGCTCTGAGCCTCCAGTCTGGTCCCGGTCTGGTCTCAGACCTGGATCAGTCCTGGTTCAGTCCGTA